ACAGCATCAATCCAGTGACCGGCCGTGTGGAGGAGGAGCAGCCCAACCCTATGGAGGGAATGACTGAAGAACAGAAAGAATACGAAGCCATGAAACTGGTCAACATGTTCGATAAACTCTCCAGGTAATAAAGTGACTTCAGGAAGCCCAAAGCTTACAAGCAACGATGCTCTCATTGTGCTTTCAAAATAGTATGACGTCAGCTGTAAGTAACCACTAACATGCTTTTCTTTCAGGGAGCAGCTGATCCAGCCAATGAAAATCGGAGCTGATGGTAAAATGACTTCATTGGAGCCACAAGAGCTTCATTATTTAGCCAGCCAACAGTTCGGAGAGTCCAATAATTCCGACAGCGACAGTGACACAAACTAATTCTCCTGAAATGAGTCTTGAGTCTTTTAACAGGACGGATAGGATTGCTTATTTAATTTTAATCAAACACAAAAGCTTATTGTGAATCATATAAAAGAATTGAATCGTTTGACATTAAGATTTAAATGCTTTTGTTTTTACTCCAAAGGAAAACACCTGGTGATTGTTATTTCGTCTCGTTTGAGGTTTATTGTGTTGGCCTGTCTTTAGGTAATATTTTCTGTACAATGACAATGAAAACAAGGCTTGGTTGCACAGTGCTAGTTTATTCATATAGCAGGATTCATGTAATGGAACTCCAAGTTATACATCACAGATTTTATTTGAACGTGGTCACGTGGTCCGAGAAGAAAACAAATGTGACACTGGGTGATGACAGTGACGGAGCCTTGATATTTATTTATTCGTTCATTCGTTTGGTTTCAGGATGAGCTGAGATTTTTAAGTTACAATAAATATCTAGTTTATGAGATGTGATCATTTATGAGGAACGACAGTTCAGCATTTTTTTGTTTTACCCAGGAGCATATAAAGCCTCCTGTGATCAACTTTTCTTTTGTTCTGTGTGGTAAAAGGATGAATTACTGTATATTGTTGTTGGTGGCCCGTGTAGTTATGTGTGAATGACTGAAGGGAATGTTGAATCATTTATATCACATTATGTTTAAAGAAATTTATTGTGAGATGATAATAAAAGAGCTGAATTTGTCATTGTCTCTCATTTGAGATGTTTTATACACCTACATTTGTTAAAGGGGTGGTTGATTGCGATTTCACTTTTTTAATGTTAGTTAGTGTGTAATGTTGCTGTTTG